CTAAGGGCAACCGTGCTGTTTTCCCAAGTGTCCATCAGAGGTCTCTCTTTTGTCCCACTTCTTCCTACAGCCAGTTTCTCAGTAAGACTTTTGCCTGGTTCCCTTGCATACGCCCCAGTGATGGAGATGATCTGATTAGGTCTATTAGTAGGACTAAGTTCAAGATTCTATAGAAGAAATAAAGAAAATTGGCTCCCATTTCCCTTTTGGCACCCTAACCATCTTGTGTTTCCATTGCTTTGCAATTGCAGAGAAAACCTTCAGGGAAGGGGTTATCATGTGCCCTTGGGATTCACACTCCTGGCACCGCAGGTATGCCTATGGCACCAGCAGCTAAGCAGGAAAGAGCTCTTGCACATTCATTAACCCCCTTCAGAGACACAGCTACATGTGTGTCGAGGTTGATGCTCTGCTTCATGTTTCATAGTAAGCATCCATCCAGAGGGTTGCAGATTTCTTCAAGTCCCTGTGGGAGAGGTAAACAAAATCATCAGTAGATGAGACTTTAATGTAAATGGAGATGCGCCATGGACCATGCACTCCTGTACTTGGCTCAGGGAAATGTTGTCATTTTCAGTTATGGCTGAAAGATGTCTTTTCTGTTGCCCAGTGGAGGGAAACAAATACACTGCATTGCATGTTAGCAGATGATTTCACATTTCCTTTAGGGAGGGGGTTCAGTTTTTCTTTCATTTTATTCTTTTTTGTACCCCAGACTATCAACAGTCCTTTTCCCTAGCATTAAAAAAGAGCTTCTCTGAATCTCTGTAAGATAAAGCATATACCTCTATACCAACCCATCCTATTATACACTCATCATATTTTACAATGTGAAAGGTATTTTTCTAGGCTCTGGGAATACAGCAGTGAGTAGGAGCAACATGAGTCCCACCTATGTGGAGTTCCTCGTCTAGCTTGGGAGACACGTATTAAATAATTTACTACCCACGATGTTATTTGTTCATGATTGTGATAAAGCTCACAAGTGAAGAGAAGCTTGTGCTAGAGCACCTGCAAAAGCAGGTGACAGGTGGAGTCCTGGGGTTGAGGAAAGACCAAGATGAGGAAAAGGCATTTATGAGCCTTGGAGAAGGGATGGAAATCGACAAGGTTTTATGAGGGGAGGCCATGGACTGGAAGAACATTCTAGGCAGAAGATAAGGGGACAAAGGACAGGAGATGGCAAGGGACAGGGAGTTCTGTAGCAACTGAAGAAGGGCCAGATCTCTGGAGGGCAGAAAAGTAAGATGGGCATGGTGAAGAGTATGTAACTGGAGCACCATCTAACGGTCAGATCAGGCCAGGCCTGGCCTAGTTGGCTTCACTCAAGACACTGGCAATTTTTTTCCTAATTCCAAAAGACAGGGAAACTTACTAAAGTCTGATCATAGGCTGTTAATGTTCTCTGTGGAGCTTTGAATGCACCAAGATGAGTACTGACTTTCAGTTCTGGTGGGTTTCTCTGCTCTTGGTCAGTCACCCCTCCCTGATCCATATAGTTATGTCCCTAGACCCTGTAGGCATTTACTTTGCAACTCTGGACCATGATTTGAGAGTCCCTCCCAGCACATAAATTCTAAAGCAGGTCAAGGTTCTGTAGGGGATACAGAGTTAAATAACATGCAGCCCTGGTTTTAAGAAGCTTGATACTTAATAGTAGGGTAGCAAGGCATTTTCACTAAGAAGTGCCCACAAGGCAGTAGGTAAATGGTAAGAATTGTTTTTTAACATTGCATTGTTGATGTTCCCTGAAGGGTCTCATGTCCATGCTGGACATACAGATGTCCCTTAATAAATAGCTTATGGGTAAGTAATTCACAAGCCAGTGAATAGTGTGGAGACAAGCAGTGAGGGGGAGATGAGAGCTACGGGCTGAGAGACTCTGTAAATACCTGGTGATATCTCCAAATGCTTTCAACAGGGGCTTGTTCACATACTGCAATCCATGCTTGGCACACAGCGACCTCACCAAGGGTGCCACCTTGTGATAATTATGGCATGGCATTGTGGGAAACAGACTAGGGAAACAGATACAGGAGATACAAAACTTAGATCAAAGGAGCAACTTGAAGGAGTTTTTGTTCCCCTATTATTGGATAAAATTCTATTAGCAATGCAGACCTTGACGTTGTACAATACTTCTGTTCCAGGAAGCTCAAAATCTGTTGCCAGAACACTCCAATCTTATCTCTCAACCCTCTGTAAGCCCTGTGGGTGGCTAATGTTTGGGAAGACCTAAGATAATTACCTCTATCAAATATATTAATTTGACCAAGTCATATGAAAGTATAAGATTTTCTACCATTCTGAATTATCTAGAGAGCTGGAGGGGTACCTAGCTGACTCAGTCAGTGGAGCATGGAACTCTTGATTTCAGGGTTGTAAATTCAAGCCCCACACTGAGTGTAGAGATTACTTAGGACTTAATTGCCTAGTGAGCTGGAGAAACCCCCCCTCCAATTCTGTCTCTGTCTCTCTCTGTGGATACCTCTAACTCCTGTACAATAAATGAGTATTCAGTAAGTTTTAGTCAAGGTGTATGGGGGAAAGTTCTAAGATAGGAATAAGAAGGGAGGAGAGATGGGTTTTATTCAAGGCTTTTAATTACCAGCCAGGTGAACTTTTTAGGTTTTAAACTTTACTTTGATAACATATGAATAATAAGCTTTCTTGCTTTGCCGAGATTTTGAAGGAATACCATGAGAGAAAGGATGAGAAAATCCCATGAATAGGTATAAGAACTTTTTCCTTCTCTATCACAGATACAGCTTAGATGAAGAGGAAAGATGAATAGGAAAGTCTCTTCCTTGAATATTCTGCCGCGATTGACTTTCAAAGTACTATCGTTTTCTCCTTCTTTGGTACATGTGCACATAACTACCTATTGGTAAAGTAGTTCAAATATCATTTGGAAATTGCAGCAGAAACTGGATTTCAGTTGATTGTTTTGTAACCTTGGCTCTAAAGATATAGATACAGGTTGATATTAAAAATAAAAATTAATTTCGACATAACTTTGTTACACAAGTATCATGATTTTTCTTGGGTTTTGCCAACAAACCACATGCAAAGAAAACAACCACCAATTCCTAAGTCCTTGGGAATCTATGAACTGAGTCATTGTTATTTTTCCAAGATTTCCCTCCATTTACTCAATTATTACGCCTTATGCTTTTCTTTCTTCACTTTCTTACCTTTGAAGTTAATAGAATTTAGAGAATTCTGATTCATTTTTTCCCTCTGAAACCCCTAGTCTAGGGCTCTGTTCTGGACTGTATGGAGGGTGGGGGACTGTTATAAGTGACAGCCTTTGCCTTTTATCATGGACTGTTTCTATCACTCACTGGTGCTCAATCTGGAAGTTCAGATGCCCAGTGAACCAGTCATTGAAAAAGGACTGTTCAACATTACAGGTGGCCAAGACCTGAAAAGAAAAAGCTTACATTAGATGTAAATAAGCCCACGTGTCAGATTAAACAAATTAAACCTTTATTTATTCTCTTTAAGTCAATTAGTCAACAAGTATCTATTTTATGTAAGAAACTTTGAAGGATAAGAAAGATACACAGTGGGGACCCTGGTGGCTCAGCGCATTAAGTGTGCAACTCTTGATTTCAGCTCAGGTCATGATCTCGCGATTCATGAGTTTAAACCCCTGGTCAAGCTCTGCACTGACAGTGAGAAGCCTGCTTGGTATTCACTCTTTGTCCCCCCCCCCCCCCAACCCACACTGTTCCTCTCTCTGTCTCAAAAAATAAACAACAACAAAAAAAAGCACAGTGTCAGGTCTCAAGGAGCTTATGATTTATATAGGCTTAATTATAGCTTTATAATTTAAAAAAAGTGATAAGAGGGGCCCCTGGGTGGCTCAGTCGGTTGAGCGTCTGACTTCAGCTCAGGTCATGATCTCGCGTTCGTGAGTTCAAGCCCTGCATTGGGCTCTGTGATGACAGCTCGGGGCCTGGAGCCTGCTTCAGATTCTTTGCCTCCTCTCTGCCCCTCCCCTGCTCATACTCTGTCTCTCTCTGTCTCTCAAAAAATAAAGCGTTAAAATTTTTTTTTCAAAAAATAAATAAAAAGATGATAAGACATATTGCTAAGAAGTTTATGCAATGCAATAGATATGAAGAAGTATGTGGGATTTGAGGGGCTAAGTCACCATCAGCCCTTGGATACAGAAAGCTAAGGTGTCACGAATGATGACTGGCAAATGCGAAGTGGGATTGTAGGATTTGGGTAGAGACTGTAGAGATTAGAATACCATTTCCATACAGTACATTTGAAGGACTTCTAAGTGAGAAGTAAGGCAGTTAATTGTTCGACCATGGGTTCTGAGAATAGAAATGCATTTCAGTAGAAGTAGTTTCCTTTGAAATCTAATGTATTTTATTTACACATTTAAAACCATTATCCTGAGAAGGAGTTCATAGGCTTCTCTAGGCTTCCAAGATTTAGAATCTTTATGATTGCCATTTTATTCGCTGCCTTTCTAAGGTTGGGGTTGTCGCTATTTTGAATGTCATTTTTGTGGTTGTTCTATGTCAGCGTTTCTCAGAGTGTACTTCAGAGCACCCCAAGGTTCTCTAAGAACCTTTCAGGAGATCTGCAAAGTCAAAACTACTCCCAGAATACCTCTAATACAGCATTTGCATTTTTCATTTCCAATTTTTTTTTAATTTTTTTTCAACGTTTTTATTTATTTTTGGGACAGAGAAAGACAGAGCACGAACGGGGGAGGGGCAGAGAGAGAGGGAGACACAGAATCGGAAACAGGCTCCAGGCTCCGAGCCATCAGCCCAGAGCCTGACGCGGGGCTCGAACTCACGGACCGCGAGATCGTGACCTGGCTGAAGTCGGACGCTTAACGACTGCGCCACCCAGGCGCCCCACATTTCCAATTTCTGATGCTTGTGCAGTAGATTTTTTTTTCTTTCCAGAGGACTCTAAACCTAGAATGGCATCATCAGTTTGATGTTTAAAATGTACTGGCTTTATTCTTGTTGTTTGAAAGTTAATTAATAAATAAACTTTTAAAAATTCTCAGTTTTAGTTTCAAATATAGTAAATATCAATGGCTATAACCCACATTAAAAAAAAAAAAAGCTCATTGAGGTCATCAAAAACTTGTACGAATTTAACTTTGCAGAGTGTAAGGTGGTCCGTGACCAAAAAGTCCACTGAATTTGGGAATGAGCTTGGAGAAGGAAGTGGTATAATCATGGCCTAACCACCAGAAGGCTTAGGAGTCAAGGGGATTCTATACTGATCATAACTCTGTTAATCATTAACTGCATTCTCAAAGAGCATGCCATGTCTCCTCTCTGGGTCTTTCTACCTATAAAATGACGTGAAGTGACTTCCAGGGACCATCTAGGTGTAAAATTCATTTTGTGATTCTAAGAGCTCAGATTCACTTGAAAGACTGGGTCGGGTGGGAGACAGGTCAGCAAATGTTTTCTATAAAGTGCAAGACAGTAAATATTTTACTTCTCTGTCATACTCTGTTTTTCTTTTATAGAATGAAAGCAGTCATATATAATATGTAAATGTACAAGCATGGCTGTGTTCCAATAAAATTTAATTTACAAAAGCAGGCAACGAGCTCCATTTGGCCCTTGGACCATAGTTTACTGACCCTTAGTTTAGAGCAAAGGCTCTGAAATCAGACTGCCCAGGTTTAAAACCTGCTTTCTACCACTTATTAGCTGGGCAATATCATACAAGGTACTCAACTTCTTCATGCCTTAGTTTTACCATCTGTAAAGTGGTAATAATCATAGCACTCGCAAAGCAGTGGGCAGTGCCTGCCTCTTAGCAAGCATTTCATAAGCATAAATTATTATCATCTGAGGTAACTAGACTCTAAATCAGTATAATCAGAAGGACCTTTTCCCAGGAATTCCACCATTACCTGAGCACTGAGCCAGTCCCGGTTCTCCTCTTTGCTTATTCTCATAGGTACATGGCTCATCTGGGTAACATATGCTACCCAGGGACTTTCGAGAAACCTTTCAGAGAATAAAAGGAGAAAGTG